TTATGTGTTATTTCAGGGGCGAGGTTTTTTCAAAAATAATTTTGACTTTGTAGACCGAGGAGTTAGAGTTATCGAGCCGGAAGGGAGGAGTTATTAAGGTTATGGTGCCGGAAGGGATGAGCTATGGGAATTAGGGTTGTAGTGCCGAAAGGGAGGAGTTATAGGAGTTGCAGGCCTGTCAACTGTCCCGCAATTTGCGTATTTGTCACGCATTTGCTGAAGAATTTGAAGTCTCGCCAGTTATTTTTGCGTGACAGAAAATGTCACGCAAATACGCATTTTACCTGGTAATTGTCAAGCAAAAATATTTCTGTAGAAAAATTTGAGGTGTTCAAAATTTGGCAAGATGTAATAAAATTTAAACCAAGGTGTTCAAAATTTGGATAAAGGTGTTCAGATTTGGACCAAGGTGTCCACATTTCCAAGTCACTCATGTTAGGTGTTCCCAAGTTGACAGGCCTGGAGTTGGGATCGTGGTGCCGGAAGGGAGGAGTTATGGGAGTTAGGGTTATGGTGTCGGAAAGAAGAGAAGTGTAAGACAAAGCAACGTAATATTTAATTTCTCAGTCTCTAAAAGTTTGATTTAAATCTTTTAAGCTCCTTTTAATGAATGAAGATGAAATCGCAATTAGCATCAACGTAGGGAGAACACACATTATGTTTAGTTCTGCATCAGTAGCCAATCAACATTAACTACGCGACGTATTTCATTTTGTGATCTACATGTAAAGTTCAAAATAAATAATGCAGGTGATTTTCACAATTATCCACCAATCAATTCAATATGGTATGCATTTTCAAATAATAGTGCTGAAGTACATGCACGTACATTACAAACTGGACATTTGAGAGATCAATGTCAGTTAAAGAAACTTTGAGATTAATAGGGTCGAATCGTATCAACACTATATGCTAAATTAATGTTATGAGGTGTACGAAAAAGACCGACCCTTCCTACCACCGACCTTAGATTTCAATTTTTGGATTTTAGAAAAAAATGTTCACCCCCTTGTTAGCTTCTGGATCCGCCACTGTGGCTCTACATGATACATACATTGTATACGTACTTCTTAGTTCCAACCCTCGTACCATCTAACAATTGCAAATCAATTTCAGTTCTTTGCGGTTCACAATTAATGGCATTTGCCTTGTAATACTAGGTGGTTCAGGATGTTAGAGGAAATCCCTTTGTTATCTTACCGAAATCGAAGTAGTGTAACATTATGCATGGGTCATAATTTTTACATTTATATTGGGCAGAATTTCAAAATTTTCAGGTTATTCATTAACTCTTATTTCTGCACCCTTTTCTAAAACAATAAGTAGGAATGTGGGGTCATTTGGACCACCTCTGCGATTTTTATAACTTGTCTGATTTTAATTATGTTGTAATGGTGCTAAACATATTTTCTGTGAAATAAAAAGTAAATAAAAAATGTTGGTATTGTTGTAAACCTTATTCAATTAAAAGATTGGAGGAAGGGGAGAATAAAAATGCATCTAAAATTTGGAGAAGGGGATCGTCATAACCATGTTACCACAGTGTACATTAACATTCAAGGATATGGAAAAATTCAAAGGTATTCATCTTGATCAAAGGTATTCATCTTGATCCAACAAGGTATTTTATATATGAACAATAAACAATAAACTGGTTTACAATATGTCATTGTTATTGTTTATTGTTTGGCTGTTAAATTGCTGTTAAATTGACAATATTTGTAGAAGTTCCAATGTTAGGGGAATGGATAAATGGCAATTTCAAAATGTTGATTTTTGCCAACCTCAGAAATAATAAAAAACAAAATCAAATTATGCAGTAAGGGGAAGAGTTAGACAACTGATTGATATCAAATTAAAGACCCTTAAAACTTTACAAGATAATACAAGATTTTACAAGATTTACTACTGCTATTAGCGATAATTCGGCTCAATTGATAAAAGTGAGTTTCCGCACCTAAACGGAGGGTCGTTTGACTGACTTTTGTACCTAACTATTTACTTGAGCAGGCCTTAACACCCTCAGCGAAGATTTCTTTTAAATGAGGAAAATTAAATTATTGAAAAGGGTATCTAAATTGGTTGTAATGATTCATTCGCCAAAATGTCCATATACACAATGGTCTGTGCGCTTCAATCGCTTTCAGGTATCTTTCAATTTTACGCAACATTACGCCAAATGGGTCTATTCATCACAGATCACTACTTGGGAAATCCTTTTGAATTATGCATGGAATTTGTTAGCATTAACTCTTATAATATGCATCTACCTGTGACAGTCATACAAACAATATTTAGTTCAGCTATTTTAAGGGAGATATAGCGTTCGCTGACCAGTCCATGTCTTTTACCTAATTTATATCTTTAACATCTTCGTCTAGCTGCAAGCCCTTATGACCCCCCCATCACACACATCCCACGAAGATATGAATGGTGTGTTGCTGAAAGAGGGAGGTCATAGTCTTGACGCAAGACAAATAACGTCTCTCATTTTTAAGCAATCACTGAACCTATTGAATTATTTTAAGCTTTTTGGATATAATATATTGATTAAACATAATAGATATCAACCACTATACAGGACCTATAATATACAATATAAATGGAAAATAGTAATATTTTCTAAGAAAAAAATCATGGTCGATAATCTAATTTTATATGGTAATATACATGGCTTTCCCCTAGCCAATTTTGAACTTTTAACAAGAGGAGGAGCATTGGCCAAAATGGGGGGAGGGGGCTTTTGACTAAATAAGCATTCGAAAAATGCTCGGAATTGAAAACTGCATGATTTGAGTATTGAAAATCAGTGATGTGGCGACACTATACAAAGATGCGAAATGAGAATCAGAATGCATTTTGTTAAATCTATGAAAACCAACTCAGTTTAAATGTAAGTTTGATTGTTCATGCAAAGAGAAAATTTGTTTTAGATACAGGGTGTTCAGGAAATAAAGATAATAATGTCATAACTTTTTTATTTGTTCATGGATTGCATTGAAAGTTTCAGAGATTATAGTTTTAACATATTTAAACTTATTGTTGGAGTTTCAGTTTCAGGTGATTTGATTGGTTGATTATGTGGTTGTTATAGCAACGCGAGTAGCGCTAAGGCGGGGCAGGTGGAATAACTGCAGTATATTTGCATGCTTTAAATGTTTTAAAAAGAGATTCTATCATGTTTAGAACTTAAAATGCATGCTTAAAGATAGTTATAACTATAAGCCTGAAATTCTATGCCAATTTATCAATTTATTTTACATAATTTCCTCCATTTTAGACACTAACTATTTGCCTCTTGAACCTTCTTCAAATACTTCACAGAATTCATCTTGACTCATTTCCGGAAGTCTGTTTAATACATGTGAACGTATGGCATGGGTATTCTCAAATGCATGTCCTCTTAAGTCCCGTTTTGATTCAGCGAAGAAGTATAAATCATTTGGCGCTAGGTTGGGTGAATAAGGTGGATGCTGAAGTTGCTCTAATCTCAGCTGATCAATTTCCTTAGTGATTATGGCAGCAGTATGGGAGGGGGAATTGCACCAAGTGGAAGAGAAAGTGCATCCCGGTCGCTTTCTATGTAATGCCTGCATTCCCATTGAGCATTTATTTGACTCTTATATCATAAAACAAAACAATAGAAGAATTTTATCAGGGAGATACACCAAGAAAGCTTTAAATATGGAGTCAAAATCGGTTTGCCATGCTAAATGTAACACAGAAACTACTGCAGTTATTCCATGTGCCCCGCCTTAGCGCTACTCGCGTTGCTATGCCAACCACAGAAATGAAAAATCAAATCACTTAAAGCTGAAACTCCAAAAGTAAGTTTAAATATGTTGAAACTATAATCCCTGCAAATTTTATTGAAATCCATGAATAAATAAAAAAGTTATGACATTATCATCTTTATTTCCTGAACACCCTGTATATAGGTAATATGATGAGATTAAACTTTCGAGGTATTCCGATTTCTTAAATAGAGCGATTTAGGTGGTATATACGATGCAAATCGAATAGACAGTAGCATGTTCAGCATAACTAACGTTCTGTTAAGCTTTCTATTAAACTATAACTTAATAACCGGTCCTCAAAGTTTGATAAAAAAGTAAAACTATACATACAGATTCATTTGGTGAGATGACATCGGTCCCCGATCCGGACTTTGTGTATCGAACTCTTGTTGTTTTAAGTTCTATGTTCTGCACCGATTGCCCCAGATATCTTCATTCCTGGGCCATCATTCACACTACTAACCGTGGACATAAACACGAGCAATGCGCACTGCACTGATGCCTTTTAGGGTAATATCCTATTCAATCAACAAGGGACAATAGAGCCAATAGCCCTTCATGTCACAATTGTAAACAGACCGAGCCCACTTTTATCTCATCTTCAAGCTATAAAAACCTCCTTGCAGATGTTTCGGAGAATACCATTCCGTTTCGTCAGTTCGCTAAGTACATTTTATCTATTAATCGTTCGCTAATCTGGAGGGTTAGGGGGTGCGATTACTACAGCAAGTGCTACCCTCTCTCTTAGTATACAAGGGGTAATCAATAATGGAAGCACCAAAGTCTGGTGTCTAAGTTTTGTGTTCGTATGTGTATTAGGGTGGTAACTCATCTTATTGTTCAGATATTAACTTAATTTAGGGAGCTGTTTTCCCGTTCTGACATGATGCCATTATTCGAATGTTGTTAAGTATGTTAGTTTAATGTGCATGTCGCTTATTGTTCAATTTGGTGTATGGTTGTTTGATATCTCCTATCTGTTAATCTCGGGAGGGGGGGGGGGGGGTGTTTGGTCGTGGTATTGTCTCTTAGTTGAGGTTTTGACTAGTTTTTGTACGCCGTATTGTCAAATATTTTGATTCTCCCGTATTTTTATTTCATCTGGAGGGTGTAGGCCTATGCGTATTGGTAATCTGTATCAGGGTGTGGTCGGTTCATTGTTGAAATTAGGATTGGTTGTTTGGTTCGTTGTTTGTACTTTATGGTCAGGTATGTTTTATGTTGATATTGTATGTATTTCGGAGGTTGTTAATTTGTTCGTGTTTGGCTGTATTTTGTTTGGTTGGTTGTGTTTTGTTCTTGGTTAGCTTTCTGTTGGTGTATGTATTATGTTTGTAGAATATCATTTTTGTTGAGATATTAACTTGAATGCGGGGAGCTGTTTTCCCATTATGAGATGATTTTTTTGTCGTTTCGTTGCATTGGAAATGAACCATGATATAGAGATGTCGTTTTTGTTCAGTTGGTGGGTTTATTCGGGTTGGTTGTTTTGGTATCATTTGTTTGTAAGGTTTAAGGGTATTTTTATATTGGCCTTGTCTGTTGCTATTTGACGTTTTATAGTTCGTATTTTCAAATATTTTGATTCTTTCGATTTTGTGTTATTTGTTACTTTGGCCTAAGATCACTTATAAAGTGCTCCGAATGGTGAGAAACTGCATGATTTAAAATTGTTTCAAACGCATGCAGTTTATTTGTCACCACCACCACGCCCGGTGATCGTACAAAATGGATGGAGGGGAGGGGATTAGGCGATTTCTGCAAGAAAACTCAACAAATTTGGAAGATTTATTTTTTCAAAAGACGACTGAATTGCCAAATGAATAGTAGGCGCAATGCATGGCAAAATATGTTAGGTCATCTAGTATATTTTTTAACTGATACCCTTCTAAGATATGAGATCTATTAAAAGACGCATCATCACCAACGTGCAAAAGTCAATGTTTTTTTTGCTATAAAGCGGGCAACAATGGTCTACACGACCTGTAATAAATAGGTATAAGGGACGTTATTATCACAATATCAATGACGGTTTATTCCCATTTGGGCCCTCATTTATTCCCATTTCGCCCCTTACCAATTGGCCTCTTTCCCATTTCGCCCCTTTCACATTTTGTCCCTTTGCCATTTTACCCCTTTCCCGTGTTGCCCCCTTCCCATTTTACCCCTTTCCCGTTTTGCCCCCTTCCCATTTCGCTCCTTCCCATGTCGCCCTTCTCCATTTCGCCCCTTCCCATTTCACCCCTTTCCCATTTCGCCCCTTCCCATTTTGCCCCTCATTCAGTCCGATTTTGCCCCTTTCCCATTTCGCCCCTTCCCATCTCGCCCCTTCTCATTTCGCCCCTCATTTATTCCCATCTCGCCCCTTCCCAATTGGCCCCTTCCCATTTCGCCCCTCATTTATTGAATGAAATATCCGATGATCTTTTGTCAATTTTACCAGATTATTTGGCTGTAAAATTATAACATAATGATACGACGTCAGATACTGTAGCCTACATCACGGCATTTTACTACACTTTAGCATGCGTACCTACTTTTAAAAACCTGATATCTTGGCAACAAAATACTATTTTTCTACAATTTTTCGTCAACAGATATGAATATAGGCTATGTCCATCTCATATTTAGCGCATCAAAATGCACGATTATTAATTTTTGAAATTCTAAAATGAGGATCACGCACTCCTTATAATCCAATTTTATACGCTATAAAACAGGGTATCCACTGTAAAATTTTGAAAAATAATGATTCAAATTTTAGTCTGAGTAAAATAAACATAACCTTTTTAATCCAGCACGTATCTTTTTCAGATTTTCACAATATTTCAATCAGCGAAGTGGTTTCTGTGCACAGTGCAACAATGCTCATTTAACGCTAATATTTCGATCAAAAAGTGTCGACAAACCAAATTTCAAAACAACAGCTGGGGGATATATTCATCAATAACAATAAAATCGTGTGTGTTTGTTGGAACCCTTATTTAATATTTGTGTAGGCCTTGATATATATCTTATCTATATAGGGATTCAGCAAGGGATTATTGAGTCAAATGTATTTTCCTCGCTAATGCCTAGGTCACATTTGCTGCGATTCATCGGCCCGGTTGAGTATTTAGTTCCAAACTGAAATATGTGTTGCAATCAAATGTTTCGAAAGCCATTTACCATGATTTAACCAAAACATCATTAAAGCTCTTTTTCAGACATCCAATCAATTTAAATCAATCAAGTTTAAATGCGATCTCGCATATATTGCATACATGTGTACATGTATTTGCAGATGTAGTGATTGTATCTTACTCACATTTTCACATAATAATAGTTGTCATTTGACATGTAATATTGAGTTTTCAATATTTTGATTCATTTGTTTATTATTTTGCGATCATTAAAGCTTTAATCGGGGATAAAGATTTTGAACAAGTACACGTACATTACGTATTACAAGTCAAAAACCTTATTTACTTTACATCATAATTTAATAGGAACCCAGATACTAGAAGAAGCAGTAGATAAAACTCACATCAAATAAGCTAGATGTAATTATTGAAAGGGTTATTGGTATTAAAAATCTCAATATTTTATTTCAACAAATGCCTTGATCTCAGATATTACTTTCCCATGGATTTAAAAATCATCCCAGCACTAATTATAAGTAACACCATTGAACACAAGCCGTCTGATTGCATTACTTGCTAAAATAACATCCTTAGAAGTGAACAATACAAACATCTGATAATAATCTAACTAAATCCCCCCGTGGTATCCATGCCCGCCTTGTTATATTCTTAAAAATGTTGAACTTCCTTTTGTATTCCTTCAGAGATAATCGGTTAATTTCTGAATTTAACAGAAATTTAATTATACAATGTAGCGGCGGGGACTATAAAATCATTACATACATGTAAACTTACACTCCCCTCCATAAGTTTGGCAACCTTTTTTCTCCATTGTACTACGTGTTAAAGCCTCTTTACGTTTGAATTTTTATTTACTTAACCGGCGATGAAATAACTTATGATATTGATGGAAACGTAACTTGACTTTATTTCCAATACCTCCAAATTCTCTCAATTTTTCCTCAATTACAATAGGTCGAAAATTGATGATACATTTGATGAATTTTTGAAAATCGTCAATCTCATGTAATCCAATGGGAAATGGAGGGTTCAGGGCAAATCAGAAATCAGGATATCTTTTCAGTAAAAGATTCAGCAAAAAATATTTTCATATAGAAAATTGAATTGTCTTTTTGAACACTAAGTGTTTAGTTTATTTGATGAATATTAAAGTTACAGCGCTTCAAAGTCATTTTTGAAAATTATCTTTCGCCTCCTGTGTTATTTCAATGGGAGAGGTTTTTTGAAAAACAATTTTGACTTTAAAGCCCTATAACTTTGTTAAACCTGAAGAAACATATCAATTTTTTTGTTAAATAAAGTTAGCCAATTCAATTACCTACCTAACTCGTATTTTTTGCAAGGACTCGGATGGATGGATATTCTGTCATATGACTTGCGGCAAACCTACCATTTCCCATTGGTTAACATGGGAATGTCGATTTTCAAAAACTCATCAAATTCATCATCAATTTTCGACCTATTGTAAATGAGGAAAAAAATTGAAAAAAATTTGGAGGTATTGGAATTAAAATCAAATTACGTTTCCATCAATAGTATAAGTATTTTCATCGGAGGTTAAGTAAATAAAAATTCAAAGGTAAAGAGGCTTTAACACGTAGTTCAATGGGGGAAAAAGGTTGCCAAACTTATGGAGGGGAGTGTACCTTGCAAAATAATTGTAATGTGGAAATTAGAACCATCGGCTGTAGAAATTAATCCATATAATAACTATAACAAACGGAATAATATCAATGAGAACTTAACTCATTTGCAAGAATTGAATAATAAGGGATTAAAGTTTTGTATTTTGCTTTGGCATGTCAAAAGGTATTTTTTTGTAAGTTTGCTCTACCATGCACAAAACTTATTAATTGATCTGTCAAATGAAACAGTTGCAATAAATGTGCCTTTTTCTTTGTCTTTATTATCAAATTATCAACTGAGCATACCGAATCTTTGTGAATATATTTGACAATGGAAAACAAAGCAAGGCCCAATTCGAAATAGAAACAAGGCTATTTAATTGATAAAATGCATAACAGAAGACATGTATTGTGGAATATATTGTTTGCAAGTTTAACTCAGTAAAGTCACCTGAATAATGTATGTCCCCTAATATCTTATTACACGATTGAGAAGAGACTGGGGCAATTCATCATATTACAGGCTCTTTGCCAGCTTTTGCCTGGGGGAGGGGGCTCACGTACTTTCAAAAAAGTTCATTTTAAACGCAATTGATATTTCATGCAAAGATCATGTAGAATATAGATGTTAGTGTCAAGGTTATCTCATTTGATTTCACAAATTGGCTAACCTTATAATCACTATTTGAACCAGGGGCAGAGTCAGCAATTGTTTAGGGGGTGAGATTTCTTGGGTTTGCATCAATGCGAACGAAGCGAGGCCCGGAACGGCGTTTACCCCCGGAATTTCTGGATGTCAATGTCCATGTTTTTTTCATATTTTGCAAAATTGCTTTTTCTTTTTGAGGGGGTGTGGAATGCAAGCGCACATTTTTGTCACCCTCCCCCCGCCTTGGCTACGCCCATGCGAACCTACACCCAGTCGTAAACGGGTATGGGAATTATGTTATAATGATCATGACATAGATAATGAGACGGAATGTAGCCTGTATAACTGTTGATTCCCGGTTTTTGTCTCTTCATTCTCATATTATCAAATTATTAAAAAATGATATTTTGATTCACAAAACTGCACCGAAACATAGAAAAGTACTCGCAGGCAACCGCATTTACAATCTATAGTTCTGAAAAAGCAGGTTTAATAAAAGCCAGTTTCAAACTGAAGTTAAAAAGCCGGCTTTTTGATACCCAGTTTGTAAAATTCAAATTAGAATACTATCTTTATTTTCTATTTAAACTTAAATCACTATTATAAACAAACTATACAGTCAAACTATGACCAAGCATCGGGAATAGAAAACTCATGTAAATGAGTTATATAAGACAATGAAATCAACACTGATTGAAACAAACACTATAAAATCTTCTTTCGAGTCCATTACCTGTCATAATTTTTTTTAAATACCGACTTTACCGGGAGGAATTTAACATGGGCTTTAATCCAAAGGCAAGAATGTGTTTTGATAACTTATTAAGCGGATTAAAAGCTGTTGGACATTGCTCCAGTGATTTATATTTTATGATTCTGAATTGATGTGTGGATTATAATTGAAATCGAAAACATGACCAAAAGAGTCTAGACTTCCATTTGCCTTGATCATGAGGAATTGGAAACAATCAAAGCGGCGATTTGAAAAGGTAAAAAATGAACTCCCATGCATAATCCAAGATTGAGTACAAACGGTGTTAACAGGTTGTTAAATTATAATATCTTCACAGGAAGAATTAGGTTGCATTGACTCTGAAAGT